AGTAGCGGAGGGAGGGAGGGAGGGAATGGGCGAGTGGTTTGGTGGATGGGTGACGTGGGCGGGGCTAGATTAGGTGTTTGGGAGATAAGTGAAGGAGGGAGAGAAGGGAATTTCGAAGATAGGGTAGAAAATAGAAAAGGATTGAGTGGCGTTAGAAGAAATGAGAGGAGCGATGGAAGAAAGAAGGAAGGAAGAGAGGGAGGGAGGAGAAAAGGGAATTGGATAGAAGGGAAGAGGGTCAGGGTGAGGGAGGAGGGGAGGCAGGGAGGGAGGAAGGGCAAGGGAGGGAGGAAGGGAGGAAGGGCAAGAGAGGGAGGGAGGGCAAGGGAGGGAGGCAGGAAGGGAGGAAGGGCGAGGGAGGGAGGGCAAGGGAGGGAGGCAGGAAGGGAGGAAGGGCGAAGGAGGGAGGCAGGGAGGGAGGGAGGCAGGGAGGGAGGAAGGGCAAGGGAGGGAGGCACTGCCATCGGCGCCTCCTCACACTCTTCCCAGCGTCGCACAAGTTACACAAGCGAGTCGCCATTCAGCTGAATCCCCGGGCCAGCCACGGACGCCGCCCCTCGACGCGCACCCGTCACTTGATTGAACTTCTTGACCTGAACTCTCGAGCGAGGTAAGTGGGGCTCTCGAGAGTGTATGGGAGAGCGAGGGCTGAGTGACGTCCGCGTTTGATGCTGTCCTCGCCTGGTTCATTAGGGAGGGATGCAAAGGATGGAAATTCGTGTCTCTTCATTCGGATCACGTCCTTATCTCGCCTTATCCGACGAAGGCAGCTGAATCTCTTTTTCGTTATCACCAGCGATTGTGGAGACATTAATGGGCACACTCACACGTGCATGCGTTCGCACATATACACCTGCTCATATACATACATCATAGATACATGCATATATACAAACACACACCCATGCACACACACACACACACACACACACACACACACACACACACACACACACACACACACACACACACACACACACACACACACACACACACACACACACATACACACACACACACACACACACGTGTATATGCGTGTGTGTTTGATTGTTTGAAAGGTGAGTGGAAGCGTCCACCCATGCATGACGTATCTGTGTGCATGAGATACCACTAACAACAAAGGCACTAATAACGAGAGGGCAGAGAAGAACTCCATCTCTTTCGTGTCTCGGAGACATAGAACTATTCGGTATTCTGATTCGTTGCTTTTTATTTGTATATTTCATTGAGTTTTATTGTAATTTCGGTGCATGATAGTCACTCTGAGTACATGCATTATAAAGAATCCTTGAGCTGAAATGGATCTCTTGTCATTTTACAAAAACGTTGTTAATCGAATTAAGTTTCATTGTCGAATGTCCCGTAGCAGCTGGCACTCATTGCGTGTGTTCGTCCTCGAGGTTTCTTTTACTCTCTCTCTCTCTCTCTCTCTCTCTCTCTCTCTCTCTCTCTCTCTCTCTCTCTCTCTCTCTCTCTCTCTCTCTCTCTCTCTCTCTCTCTCTCTCCCTCTCTCTTTCTCTCTCTCTCTCTGTCTCTCTCTCTCTCTCTCTCTCTCGTTCCCTCTCTCTCTCTCTCTCTCTCTCTCTCTCTCTCTCTCTCTCTCTCTCTCTCTCTCTCTCTCTCTCTCTCTCTCTCTCTCTCTCTCTCTCTCTCTCTCTCTCTCTCTCTCTCTCTCTCTCTCTCTCTCTCTCTCTCTCTCTCTCTCTCTCTCTCTCTCTCTCTCTCTCTCTCTCTCTCTCTCTCTCTCTCTCTCTCTTTCTCTCTTCATTCCACCATATTATGTCCTATCATGATCTCTTTTCAACATTTTCCCATATTCGTCCTCCTGCAGATGAAGCCGTGGGGGAACAAGGAATTCTGGGGCGTGGGATCCGAGTACGACCCCGACTGGCTTCTGACGGAGGCGCAGAAGAAGATCCGAGATGATTTGATGGAACTCTGCAGGACGAAGATTCGGCCCCATGCTGTAAGTGTGTGTATGTGCTGTGTGTGTGTGTGTGTGTGTGTGTGTGTGTGTGTGTGTGTGTGTGTGTGTGTGTGTGTGTGTGTGTGTGTGTGTGTGTGTGTGTGTGTGTGTGTGTGTGTGTGTGTGTGTGTGTGTGTGTGTGTGTTTATGAGGATATACATCAGTGTTATATTTTTTCGTATACGAGCGTTTGAGTGCGTTTATGTGTGTTAATTTGTTCGTTTTTTGCCCATGCCTCTTTCTCTGTGTGTGGATGTCTTTTTGTCTTTATTCATGTATGGGTGCGTGCATGCATTCTGTATATATTATTTATTTGTCTGTAATTATCATTTCAAATCCAATTATACAAACATCTCCCAGATTGAATGCGACAGGACATACACGTTCCCCCGCGCCTCACTGGACGCGATGGGGGACCTGGGTCTCCTGGGCCTCGTGATCCCGAAGGACTTGGGCGGGATGGGTGAGACCCACACCTGCGGCGCCATGGTCGTGGAGACGCTCGCTCGCTACGGCTGTCCCGCCACTGCCATGATCTATAGTAATGCTCAGGCGCTTTTGTTTCTCCTTTCAAAATTTGCATGACTGCGTGAGGCAAGTGTGCCTAATGTTTATATGATTTTTTTTTTTTTTGATTGCTGTTAGTTATTGTGCGGAAATAGTTTATTCGTGTCTTTCTTTTTGTGACGATTTTATCACATATTTCCTTCACAAAATTAAACCAGATAATGACACACATTCCATCATGTTATGTAAGAAAAATCTAATGGAAGTTCTTACACAGACCACAATATCCATCACCAAATACATATTTTTCCTTATGTAATTATCAACAGTTTTCACGAGTAAAATTCTAAATCATACAAACCTCAAACACAAAAAAGCTTTATAACACAAATCTTCTGCCTCGCCCTCAGCCATGCATCTGGGCGCCTGCACGACCCTGCTCTTCAGGTACCACAACAACCCCCACCTGAAGGCCCTCCTGAAGAGAATCACCAAGGAAAAGCTCCTGGGGGCGCTCTCGGCCTCGGACCCTGCCACTGGTAAGGAAATGGAAGGAGGGAAGGAGAGACGGAAGGAGAGGAAGGAGAGGGAAGGAGGGAAGGAAGGATGGAAGGAGGGAAGGTGGGAAGGAAGGAGATGGAAGAAGGGAAGGAGGGAAGGAAGGAGAGGAATGGAGGGAAGGAAGGAGGGAAGGAGGGAGATGGAAGAAGAGAAGGAGGGAAGGAAGGAGAGGTAAATAGGGAGGGAGAGAAGGAAGGAGATGGAAGGAGGGGAGGAAAGAGAGGGATGGAGGGAAGGAAGGAGGTAAGGAGGGAGATGGAAGGAGATGGAAGGAGATGGAAGGAGGGAAGGAAGGAGAGGGAAGGAGAGGGAAGGAAGGAGATGGAAGGAGAGGGAAGGAGGGAAGGAAAGAGATGGAAGGAGAGGGAAGGAAGGAGATGGAAGGAAGAAGGGAAGGAGGGAGATGGAAGGAGATGGAAGGAGGGAAGGAAGGAGGAAAAGAAGGAGAGGGAAGGAGGGAAGGAAAGAGATGGAAGGAGAGGGAAGGAAGGAAATGGAAGGAAGAAGGGAAGGAGGGAAGGAAGGAGGGAAGGAAGGAGATGGAAGGAGAGGGAAGGAAGGAGATGGAAGGAAGAAGGGAAGGAGGGAAGGAAGGAGGGAAGGAAGGAGGTGGAAGGAGGGAAGGAAGGAGGGAAGGAGGGAAGGAGGGAGATGGAAGGAGATGGAAGGAGGGAAGGAAGGAGGAAAAGAAGGAGATGGAAGGAGGGAAGGAAGGAGAGACAAAGGGTTGGGAGATGAATCAAGATGGAGAAGATTTGGTAATGACAGGAAGAAAGATATTGGCGGGTGAGGCGCGCGGGAGGAAGCAGAGTGGGAGCTAAATAAATGTTGGGCGACAGACGTATGATTTGCTGCGAAGGTAAAGTGACAGTATAGATAGATAGACAGATAAGTGGGCAGATAGATAGAGAGAAAGATAGACAGATATCTATCTATCTATCTATCTATATACATACTTATACATATATATATATATATATATATATATATATATATATATATATATATATATATATATATATATATATGTATGTATGTATGTATGTATGTGTGTGTGTGTGTGTGTGTGTGTGCGTGTGTGTGTGTGTGTGAATAGACAGACAGATAGACAGGTAGAAAGGTAGACAGACAGATAGACAGACAGAAAAGAAAGAGAAGAAAGAAAGAGAAAAAAAAATATATAGAGAGAGAGACAACAACAACAAAACAAAGAATATCAAAGAAACCAACAACCCCAAAACGAACACCCTTGCCCACTAAACTCCCCCTCATCCTCCCCCTCCCCCTTCCCCCCTAGGATCACACGACTGGTTCCCCCTGTCCTCGAAGGTGCGCCGCCTCAACGCCCGCACGGTCGAGCTCCTCAAGTACGGCTCTTGGTCCACGGGCGCCGGATACGCTGACTTCTACACCCTCCTGACCGTCAGCCCGGACTTCAAGGACAACTATGCGAATCTGTCGTGCTTCCTGGTCTATAAGGTGAGAGAGAGAGAGGGAGAGAGAGAGAGAGAGAGAGAGAGAGAGAGAGAGAGAGAGAGAGAGAGAGAGAGAGAGAGAGAGAGAGAGAGAGAGAGAGAGAGCATTTTTATCTGAGTATTTGTTTCACTTTACACTTTACATTACCATATCATCAAGTTTTTCCGCGTGATTCATTATGACATTCAATTATTTTTTGATTGATTGAAAGAAATTAACGGCAAACTTACAGTTAACTAAATCATATCCCTTTTTTTTTCTCTCCCTCCCTTCATCCATCCATCCACCCATTCACCCCCCTCCCTCCCTCCCTCCACCTACTTACGCACCTACCTCCCAAATTCCCCAGGACGAGATCCGGGCGTCGTCGGATGAGTGGAGCGCCCTGGGGATGCACGCCAACATGTCGGGTCCGCTGCTGGTGGAGGGCAAGTTCGACATCGAGAGGATGATCGGGCCGCCGGGAGATGGCAGGAAGGTGGGCGGT